GTGCCAAATGGGGCTATGGTGTATGCAGCAGCTCCTGGTTTGGGGAGGAGGGGAGAGTGTCTCATTGACTCAGGCAGCTGGGTCGTGTTGTTGGCAACTGTGTAGTCCTCCATGACGAGAGCTGCACAGGAGACTGGGGCGTGGTTTGGGGGGTTCCATGGTGGCTGTGAGGGGTGAGGGGTCTTGGGCAACACTTCCAGTATAGCAGCAAGGGACTGGGGGAGGCTTGCTGGGGCTGGGGCTGGGGCTGGTGCTGGCAGTATGCACATGCTTCGCTATGGGAGCTAGCTGCTGGTACATGTGTGATCACAGGGGTCAGCTGTGGGCATGCATGGTGGCAAAGGCTGGGGCCAGCATCAGGCTGGGGTCAAGTGCAGAGCAGACCAGTGGCATGTTGGTGTGGACAGCTACTGGAGTTGGAGCTGGTGATGTACACACACGCAACTCTAGGGGCCAGATGTGAGCATGTGCAAGGCGGTAGGGGCCAGCACGTGGATCTGGCCAGGTGTATGCGTGTGCACAATTACAGAGGAATGGACTGCTTTAAGCCTAGTCATCCAGTAAATCTTTGAACGCCCTAATCAAAGCCAAGGAGCTAGATTTTTTAGGTGAGAAACAAGGAAAGGACAATTTCCTTGTTTTCTGGGTTTGGAGAATTTACCAGAATATGCCTTGCCTTTTTATTTCATCATGTCTACGTCTAGAATGGTGTCTACTTGTCCCTCTCCCTAACCCAATATTGTGCTCCCTTTGGCTGCCAGCTGTTATGTCCCAGCCCAAATGCTCTGTGACCCCTTCCTCAATTTCCAAACCATTTTCAGATGATATTCCTTTCCCTTTTTCCCTGTATTTTGTACAGTACTCCATTAGGGCATTTGTGGAGTCAGTTGTCATTGCTTGCCTGCCCTTCCTTCCTCCCTTCCTTCCTTCCTTCCTCCCTTCCTTCCTCCCTCCCTCCCTCCCTCCCTCCCTCCCTTCCTTCCTTCCTTCCTTCCTTCCTTCCTTCCTTCCTTCCTTCCTTTCTTTCTTTTTTCTTTAGGATACATCCCCTTGCCGGAAGAGACTGAGAGAGATAAAAAGAGAGGAAAAGTGGGAAATCACTCCCCAGAGGGGATGACCACACTATAATTCCTTCTCCTTCAGTCTCCTCCTAGAATTTTGGGCACACACTCACATGTAGCAGAGTGATTTTCAAGCCACCACGTCCAGGATTTGAACAGCATATCCAGCCATGTGAGATCTAGTGCCTTAACTACCACACCACCTCCTGGCTTTTCCTTGCTTTCTTACATGTCTGTCTCTGCCCTGAACTATGAATTCCTTGTGGACATGTATTGAACATTGGACCATTGTTTGGGCAAGTCATTATGCCCAGCGCTATGGAGAGGAGACAGAGTCATTCAAAATATGTCTCCTGTCTAAGAACTTACTATTCAGAGCTCTATGGTACAGGGGAAATAGTTGTAATTATTTGCCTTACTCTTCTACTCTTCTAAAGGGTCCAGAGAGGAGCTACTGGTTATTAGTTTTAAGTTTCTAATTATTGATTTAATGTAGATTTTATTATTATTTGAGTATGGTGTGGCCAACAGACCAGGAAATGACTGCCACTAGAAGACAGTTTGTTATACTCACAGACGTTGAGAGGCAGGAGCACCTCATGCCAGGGGGACCACACAGGGAAGCGTGCAGGTGGGGTAGGAGGTGGGGGGGGGGAACTAGGCAAAGACCCTTATTTTAGTTACTGTGGGAAGGAAGAGGTGAAGCAGGGAAAAAGGTTTAGCATTTATTCTTAGTGGGCTCTGGGATCTAGGACTGTCCTTAGTTATCTGGTTTGTGGACCTGGGGAAGTTAGGGCAGTTAGGGCAGTTGGGTGGGGGGAAAGGAAGTGGTTGGGGGTGTGGGATGGGAGTTAATTGGTGTGCATTTGAAAAGTACTTGTTTGCCTTCTCTACAAAATAACTAATCCTGGGAGGAGCATCCCCTCCAAGATAAACAAGGCCCCAAATGTCAATAGCAGAACGTGGAAAACAAATGACAGTTAATCTGACAGAAATCTGACCTCCCTTAGTGGATTCCTTTACCCTGGGTGGAATGTCTGAAAAACAAGATTAGAAAAAGGGAAGGAGGGCCAGCCTGGTGGCATGGTGGTTAAGGCAGCTGATCCCACATGGCCAACTGCGTGGTTGGAGTCTGGGCTTGAAACACATGCTGGATAGGTGTCTGTGCACGCCCAAAATCCTGAGAGGAGAAGGGAGGAGAAGGGATTGTGGTGTGGTCATTACCCCGGGGGGTGATTTCTCTTTGTCTCACTCTCTCTCTCTCTCTCTGTCCAGTGAACACATGTGTTCTATAGCAAAGAAAAAAAAAAGGAAGGAAAGGGGAGGAAACTCCTCTCTCAGGAGTGCAACCAGTTACAAGGAAAACGAACTACACTGTTAAATAAATAGGGGCTATTTTCTTCACATAATGAAACTCCGGGAGGTGGGCGCCCCAGAGTGTCCCACCATGTCCTCTAGGGCCCAGCACCTCTCCCTTCCCGTCTGCCAGCACATTTGCCTAGTGCATCCTGGTCAAGGTGGCTGATCACCTCCAGCTTTCATGTCCACCTTTAAGGTAGGAAAACAGAAGAGGGCAAATTGCTACGCCAACTGCATCTCCTCTTATTTCAGGAAAACTAAAGCTTTTCCAAAACTCCCCCAGGCCTCCTTGATCGAAACCATACGTAACTGTTTCTAGCTCCAAGGAAGTTTGGGAAGAATAGGAACTGGGTGGGCCTGTACTCCTGGCCATCCTGAACAGCATGGTTTTGTTAACCAGGAAGAGGGGGCGTGTGCACAGGCAGACAGCTCAGTCTACACATCCCACTGCTGACCCCCTCTGCGGTCTACGTCTCAGCCTGTAATATTGGAGAATATCCTCTTAACCTGGGCTGGAACCTGACGTGAGCTTTCCCACCCGCCTCCTTCCAAAGCCCTCCCGCACAGGATCTCCACCATGTTTCAAAGTGCCTCTTTTGTTCTTAAAGGAATCAAACATGGAATGACTCTAGTTACTCTTCAGTGCCCTCATTCCTGGAGCAGGATTCCATAGAGGTCACGTGTTACCCACCTAATAGCACATCTTGCGCCTTTAATATCGGGGACAGTAAATTAGGAAATAGTTGATATATATTAAAGGATATATGGGGGGGCAAGCAGGTAGTGTTGTGGTTAAGGTGCTAGACTCTTGCATAGCCAACTGTGGTTCGAGTCCCAGACCTGGAGACCTGAAACTCACGCTGGGCTCTTGTGGGTATATGTACGAGATCCCAAGAGGAGAATGGAGGAGAAGGGATTGTGGCATGGCCAGCCCTTCTGGGGGGTGATTTCTTACTTTTTCTCTCTCTCTGGTGAGCGCGTGTGCCCTATAGCAAAAATCTCTCTCTAAAAGAAAAAATAAAAAACAAACAAACAAACAAAAAATATATATATATAATAAGTAAGCTATGAAAAATAATGATAAAACCATGAACTCACCATAAAGCTTAAGGAGAATGTCATTAAAACCATCCAAGCTCTGTGTGTGTGTCTCTGCCTGCTCAGGGCCCCTCCAGGGGGGACTGCACACCCGGTGTGCACCAGGCTGCCCTTTGCTCACACTTTCCCCACCGCTTACCACTCGTTGTTGCTGATCCTAGTGAATGTGATGTCTAGCTCGTGGTTTTAATCTGAACCTCCTCGATTACTAAGGAGCCATGCTTTGTTGTAGATATTTAACGGCTTATGTTTACTCCTTTGTGAATTGCTTGCCTGTCTTCTGATTTCCCATCCTGCTTTTCACCTCTACATTCAGTTGATAATGAGTACTGGCCACAGCTTCTCAGTAACTCCCAGAGCTGTCTCCCTCCCATTGCCACCACCCTCATCTCCCCGTGACGGCCTTTCCAGATCCAGAGTCCATTGCTGCTGCTGGTGTCCCAGCTTCAGTTCTGCCTCTCTCCTTCTCCAGGCTCTCACCAGAAGGCAGGGCCTTCTAAAGTGTCAGTCTCGAACAACCAACATATCTCTCACTGGGATACTGGCTGAAAAGAACGCAGCAACTGAGAACGTACCAGTAGGGGATCACCTCCTAAGCATAATAAATGAAAAAAGCAAGGCACAGCCCCTCTGTGCATTGGCCACTTTCCTCGCCTATGCAGAGTGGGCAGATCTCTGGAGAGAGCCACAGGGTGGTGGTAGCAGGGAGTGCCTCCGGGTGGCAGCGCTGCCTGAGCTGGGGAGGATTGGGAGTGGGAGGAGGTTTAATTTTTCACTGTAAACCCTTTTGAGCCTTTCACTGAACCTTTGAAATTGTTCTGTAGTTCTATGATATCAGTTTTTAGATTTTTGCCATAGGGTGTGTGCACTCACTGAAGAGAGACAGAGAGAGAGAGAGAAAGTGAGACTCGCCCCCTGGGGGGATGACCACACTGCAATCTCTTCTCCATATTCTCGTGATTTGGGGCACACACACACACCTAGCACGTTTCACGCTGTTGGGTCCAGTATTCGAACTGCAGAGTTGACCATGTGGGACCCATTTCTATGCTGTCCTATATAAATGAGTAATTTTAAAAATAAATTAATTACATACCAGAATCCGCGCTGCTTATAAATTGTACAGGGGCTCCCAACAGCCTTCAGGACAAAGCCCTGACTCCTGGTTCTCGTGTATCCATGGATCTCATCGTACTAAGTATGGAGGCCTCAGGAAACCAACAGATCCACAACTGCGAAGCAGTGGAACAGGACATGCACCCAGGATGCCTGCAGAGCCTGGGACCCCTCCGAGTGGGGAACCTACTCCCTGTCCTCCTCTTTTTCTTTCTTTTTATTTAATTTTTAAAATTTGCACTTGCCAAAGAGAGAGAGAGAGAGTGAGCGTAGGGCCCAAACTACACAGTCAACCCTGTGGGATCCAGCTGCATTAACCACCATGCCATCAGTTGGCCCATCCTTGCCGTCTCTTTTCATCCACAGGTGCCAAGCAGCAAGCAGTTTCCCGTGCATGTAATGGCACGATCACCTTCACACTTCCATGAGGTCTGGGTGAGCGCTGAGTTCCTTCCCCTGCTGTGGGCTACAACCGCGGTGGTGGGAGGACTGAGTGAAATGTACAGTAGATCAAAGGAGGGCTCAGATTTCTTAAGGGACCAGAAGTTGGTTCCAGACCTTCTGCTGCCATGTGACTGAGGTGTGGAGATTACGGAGAGCCTGGCCGGCTGCCCTCAACTCAGCTCAGCTGGCACAGGATAGGGCTTCTGAGTTCAAGTTCACAGTCTCGTGCCCTCATTCCCTCAGTGTGGCCCGAGACCTACAGTCCTAGTGATGCCTCCTATGTAAAAGGCACTTAGGGGACCAGCAGATGGCATAATGGTTACATCACTGGACTCCCATGTAGTCAACCATGGTTCGAGACCTGGCAGCTTAAAACTCACACCGTGTATGTGTGCGTGTGTGCTCAGGGTCCCAAGAGGAGACTGGAGGAGAAGGGGTTGTGGCATGGCCATCCCCTCTGGGGGGTGATTTTTTGCTTTCTGTCTCTGTTTCTCTCTATCTCTCTGGCGAGCGCACATGCCCTCTGGCAAAACTCTACAAAACAACAAAAAGGCACTTAGAACAGATGGAGGCAGGACGAGGGGCAGTAACTATGTCAGGTGGCTGGGGCGTTGGCTAACCCTCCCGTGCCAAGCGCCCTGCAGGCACTTCAGATGCACCATCCAGCTGGGGGCGGGGGAGGGGGCTTGATTCCATCTCAGAGATGGGAGAGTGGAGCCGAGATGGAAGGAGGGCCGAAGGTGCACCGCTAGCTGGTGACGGGGCAGAGCTGTGACATTGTGTGCCTAGCAGATCTGTGGGCGAGACCTTATGTTTACATTCTAGTAGTACCGAGGGCAGACAATAAAGACAGTTCTATATAACTAGGCAGACCATGTTCAAGCTGCAGAAAAAGCAGAGAGAGAGAGAGAAGTGCTAGCACCTCTGAACAGCAGAGCAGAGCAAAGGCGACTAGGAGTCCTGGGGCTGCCGTAGGGCAGCATCGCTGAGATGTATTTGAGTAAAGGTTGAAGCTAAGGAGATGAGGGAGCTAACCGTGCAGCTCTCTGGGGAGGAGTCTTCTAGTCAGAGGGAACAGCTGCTGTAAAGGAACTTCATTCCAAGACGTCTCCCCTAGACTCGGTGCCTCAGACATTGGAGAGTATGAGAAAACCCCTGTTCTCAAGGGAGGAAAATGTTTGAAAACAGGCTGCAGGCCAACCCGAGCAAGGGAGATCTGAACAGCTCGCGGACAGGGGCTGATTTCTGGGTCCTCATTAGAAAGCAGGTCTCCCTCCTGAACGTGTCCTGCGCCAGGAAGACGTGTAGCCAAGGAGGCCTGGATCGCCGTGTTTTTGCACCCTCCATTAAAGTCCGCTGTCTCACGCCTCTGCCTTGGCCTCGGTTTCTGTTTCTGAGGAGGTCTGTGATACGCACAGTCTCGTGCTGGTCCCCACGGGACTGCCCAGTAGGGCAGCTGCACGTGGCCAGGCCTCAGCTTCCTGGCTGGGATCCGCACTTTCCTGCTCCTCATTGTTCACTGTCTGGTCTCACAGAGAGAGAGCTTCTTGATACTAATTCTCTGAATCTCCTTGAAGGAGCGTTTGCCCGAGTATGTGGACCTGTTCTCTGCCTCCCCCTGGACAGGAGGCCAAGAGAAGTGGACATGAGGGCTGGTGCTGAATGTGGTGCCCAGCATGGTGTCGGGGGTTCCTTTTTAATTTTTAAGAGTGATTTTGCTGTGCTCACCAGAGAGACAGAGAAAGACAGAGACAGAAAGTAAGAAATCACCACCCAGGGAGGATGGCCGCGCTACAGTCCCTTCTCCTTCAATCTCCTCTTGAGATTTCGGGTGCACGTGCACACACGCGCACACACACACACACACACACACACGCGAACCCAGGTGGAGTTTCAGGCCTCTGTCTAGGACTCAAACTGTGGTCAGCCATGTGGGAGTCGTCCAGTGATGTAACCCTTAAACGCCATCTGTTGGCCCTGGGTGCCAAGGGATTCTTAAGGATCAGTTTAGGTCAAGCGTTTACTGAGCTACTCTGTACCGGGAACTAAAGCACAGACTGTTTCAGAGATGGACAATTCCATTATGTTTTGCAGGTTCCACTCTGTCCTGGGTACTACCCCCCTAAAATACAGGCTGAGAGCAGGGAGGGACTTCGCCCTCTGTGGCCCTTCCGTGCCCATGTCCAGACCGCCTTCTGTTGGCCTGCTCTAGTGCTCTCACTCCCTAGTCCTCAGACTATTTGGCTTTGGTGTATCTTGATTCAGGAACTGTTTTAGAAATATTTCTGTTCAAGCACGGGCCTGTCCCTTAGACCGGATTCTGGAATTAGATTTCTTTCCAGCTTTTATGTGATGACTAACAGGAAGGAGAGACACTCCTGATTCCTGACAAAAGCGCAGTGAAAAAGGTCTGCAGAGGGCCTAGCGGAGGGGCTTCTGACCCACTGGAGGTGGTCCCAGGGCTTCCTGGAGGATACCTGCATTGTTTTGATGCTCCTCTCAGGAAGGCCTTTGGACTGGGTATTGGGTCCAGACTTAGAAGGAGCCCACTTGGCCTCTTGTACATATATTTCTTGCTGCAGATCCTCCTCCCTTCACAGATTAATTTCTTTTTTGGGGGGAGGGGATTTTCGCTATAGGGCGCGTGCGCTCACCAGACAGACAGAGAGAGACATAGAGACAGAAAGCGAGAAATCACCCCCCAGGCGGGATGGTCACGCCGCAATCCCTTCTCCTCCATTCTCCTCTCAGGATCTTGGGCACGCACGCACACGCACCCGGTGTGAGTTTTAAGCCACCGGGTCCGGGATGCGAACCGCGGTCGACTACGTGGGAGTCCAGCGACATAGCCATTACACCAACTGCTGGTTCCCCAAGGGGAGGTTAATTTCTAAAAAGGAGATGAGGATTTTCTGGTCCAGCATATGAGGAGCTTAGAAGTCAGTACTTCTGTCCTCATGAAAAGAAAAAAAACTGAATAAATTTAAAATCAACAACTCTTCTTGGATCCATCAGAAAATTGAGTCTAGGGTAAACTTCTCTCTCTTGGGAAGAAGAGCAGGTAGATGCAGAAGACTACAGCTTACCAGAAGCAAAAGCCCAGAAACAGAAACTTACCCCGGAGCCAGTACCAGGTAGGACACTCAGACTGTAATTGATAAAGTGCTGGAAGTTCAGTGTGGACAAGCTGGCTCAGTAGAAATTCCAGGTGGGGCACCCCAAGCTTTTGGAGTTCCTAACATTGTTGTGAGTTTTATACCTAAGAGCCATGCCAGGCCCTCACAGTGAAGACTGAAGAAAAATCCCTTGGTTGGCCTGCCGAGGAAGTGAAAAAGTAGCCATTTTGAAAATACTCAAAGCGGGGACCAGCAGGTGGCGTGGTGGTTAAGGGGCTAGACCATGTCTTGAGTCCCAGACCAGCCACACGGCTGACCATGTCTTGAGTCCTAGACCTGGTGGCTTGCTTTCTCACTTTCTCTCTCTCTCTCTGTATGTGTCTCTCTCTGGTCATATTAAAATAAATAAATGAATGAATAAATTTAATTTAACTTAAAGATTCTTTAAAAAAAAATACTCAAAGCATTCTGTTCTATCAAGGCCTGCCCTCTGGAGAAACTATTTAATCAGAGTCTGACTGGGGTTTTACCAGACTGACAGGTTTTACTAATTGACATAGGGATGGAAAATACCCAAACCCAGCCCGCTCTGGTTCACCTGCCTCAAATAAAGGGACAAACAACAGCTAAGAAGCACTTGTCAGGTCAAAGCCCAGGGCAGATGCTCGCTGAGACATAACCATAAACCTGTGGCCTCTGTGCAGCATGGATTGCAACAGAAGGAACTGCACATGCTGGTACAGCCAAGCCGGCGAGACCTGAGAGGACTTCCAGACATAGCTGCATGTGCTGGAGTTGTATTGATTAATAGGCTGGCGGCATACAGGAGGGGAGTCGGGTCTCTCAAAAACCCCGCAGCCCCGAGTGTAGGGAGAAGGGGGCTTATAAAAGCAAAGACCACATTTGGGTTGACGTGGCAGGAGCAGTGATCATTGAGGGCCTGTCCCTTAGACTGAATTCTGGAATTAGATTTCTTTCTGGGACAGGTGACGGGAAGGAGTGGAGATTCCTATGCTTAAGCCCTTACAGAAGCCAGATGAGGCAGGTTAATGTCCCTAAGGGTATGTTCCATCCCTACCTGAGCACAGTGGACTCTTAATGACCTTTGTGGCTAGGGCAAGGGGTTTGGTGATTCTTCTATCACTAAGGAGACTCTTAAGGCAGGGAGTTGGGGGTTATTTAGCAAAGACAGTGGGAATGTTAATCACTCTGTTTAGGCAAAAGGAGAAAGCAAGTTTACAATACAGAGAGGATTTCAAAATGGAGGTGCTCCTGCTTCACTGCTTCGGTCCCCACTTCTCTTTTGCGGGGACCAAATCATTGATTCCTCAGTACCAGTTAGCGAGCGGGGTGATAGTCTCCTTTGGCAGGTAAGGAGTTTCACTGAGTTTAAAGTCCCGTTTGAACCGACTCGGCTGATTTCCTGGTCTCCAGTTGCTGGGCACAGCTGCTCACGGCGGGAGCGTCTGGTCAGACTGGCTTGGGCCGATCACGGTATGCAGCCACTAGGTTCCGTCGCTCACAGGGAGGTCGTGATTCAGCCCTTCCCGAGGCAACGCGGGCAGTTTAGGGAAGCAGGACAGCATTTGGTTAGGTACTCACGGAAATAACGAGATTTCTCACGGAACAGAAACCGTGTCACTCTCTCTTTTGAGTCTCCTCAAATATCTGTTAAGGAGAGTCGTGCTGGCGGTGCAGTGCCTGGTACATTTGGGCTCTAGCTCCAGAGGTAACTGGCTTTCATCCTGTAAGAGATGGGATCTGGTAAGGAAATTGAGTAAACTCGAACCGAAAGTCAAAATTAGAAGCGCGGTTAATAGAGGACTTAACGGGAAGGGCCAAGGCGCCTACTCCCAGCGGCCACTCTAACCGTCCCATGAGTCGGCAGCAGCCTGTCCCCTCCCTGCCCATCTGGTCGTCGAGCTGCTGGGCCGTGCTCCTGCCAATGCCTGGCAGAGCAGTCAGCCTCTGGAGTGGCTGGAGCAGGGCTTTGCTCTCTGGTCTCTGAAGTGTTACCCAGAAGGACCTTCCTGGCTTATCTTGTGGACCAAGGCCCAGGTGGGCCCGTGGAAGCAGTCCTCTTGGCCTCGGTGTGACAGACCTCCAGGCTAAATAGCAGTGGTCGGAGCAGCCAGCACGACCATGTGAGGCCCATCTGGACTGCATTTAAAGATATTAGTACAATTAGTTTTAGAATGTTAACTTGATTAATTTTTGCAACCCTTTCTTAGATTCTTGTGATGTAACTCGAACCTTCAATGATATGCTTTAGACCTTTTAGTTTTTGTCCCTTTTTTACTACTGTTCTGAGATAGCCATTCTATCTTAAAACAAAAACTTTACTACATAAAATTCCTTCTATAAAAAAAAAAACTTTCCTCTTAACCCTTTCCACTAGAAATACAGTTTTACAGCCATAACCCTTTCATTCTTTATCTTATTCTCTTTGTTTTTGTTTGTTTGTTTGTTTTTGGGAAGGTTTTTGTTATAGGGCGCATGCAGTCACCAGAAAGACAGAGACAGAGAGACAGAAAGTGAGAAATCACCCCCCAGGGGAGATGGGCACACCGCCATCACTTCTACTCCATTCTCCTCTCAAGATCTTGGGCACGCATGCACACGCGCCCAGTGTGAGTTTAAGCCACCAGGTTTGGGACGCAAACAGGTCAACTACATGGGAGTCCAGTGACATAGCCATAACACCAACTGCTGGTCCCCCTCTTTGTTTTTATCTTTGCAAGTTTAATCTTAAAAATTACCTTAATTTGGGAACCAGCAGTTAGCGTAATGGCTATGTCGCTGGAGTCCCACGTAGTCGACCGCGGTTCGCGTCTCGGACCCGGTGACTTAAATCTCATGCTGGGCACGTGTGCGTGCGTGCCCAAGATCCTGAGAGGCGAATGGGGGGGAAGAGCTTGC